GGCTGGTGGTGCCGGGGTGGGGTGGAGGTTTTCTGGTCGAAGCAGGCGGCCTCTACAATAGTTGCGCCTCTGCTATTTTGGCGTTCTACTAGTTGTTATTTTTCTTTTGGTCGTTCGTAGCCTCTGTGTCGTTGTGCTGCCCCGCCTTGGTGGAGTTGGGCGGTGTCCCGGGCCGTCTCGGACTTGTCCGTGTGGCGGGGTCGGACCCCCACCCCTGTATTTTTTTTTTCTGGGGGTGCCAGGCGCGCCATCTGGTTTTTGCCGTTGTGATTTGTGTTTTCTGCATGTGCTGGTGGTGGTTGCGCTTTTGTTTGCGGCACCGCGCTTTACGCTTCTGGCTGTGGGCCTCTGCCTCCCATGGGGTGGGTGTTGTTCTTTTTTTATTTGCTGATAATGTTGTGGGAGAAGAAGAGGTGAACCGGCATTCTGGGGAAAAAATAAAATAATAGTAATAAGGATAAATAAAGAGGTAATATGTGTGTGAGAGAGTAATTGTGTGTTGATTCTATTTGTAAAGATTGGCACGGTTCAGTAGAAAAAACAAATTAAAAACAAATGATTATTGACAACGTTGCGTGAAATCTCAATATACAAAGTTTAATACAAAAAAAACAAAAAAACAAAACAAAGCATCTCACCTGAATTTTATACACATACACAGGCTGCGTGGTTGGGTTTGTTTACATGTAATTCAAATCAATTCTCTTTTTCTTATACATCACATCTCTCCTCACGTAACTTGATATTTGGAAGGAAAGGTCATTTTCGAAATCTCTTTCAGTTAACACCACTGCTACCCATGAGGGGTGGTGAATGGGGGAAAGAGGGATTATTTGACACCAGTGTAGAATACAAAAATTAATTAGAAGAAAATCACGAGAGTCTGATTAACGGGGACATATATTTCTTTTCTTTTACTTTCTCTACGAATAACAACAACATCAATGAGAGAAGTTACCCGAGTGAAGTATAAAAGTAAAAGTTGTTCTTTCAGAAGTAAGGAGTACCAAAAAGAATACCCCAAGGTACCAAGGCAAAGAAAAGAGCTGCTCCTGTTATTGGTGGTGGTGATGGTGCAAAATGATGAGATCATTTTATCTTTTTGTTTTCTTCTCTTTGGGAAACCGTTTATGCTTATTATGCGTATATACAGTTGAGATATCTCTCTTACATGCGTTTTTTTGGAAGGTGTGCCACATCAAAGTGTGCACTACTCGGGTCCGC